CACACATATATGTGGCTTAGGAATAACAGCACTATCTTAAGTGGGAATGGTAGTTAGGACAATATTAAGAAAAGCTGTTGAGTTTGAGAAGGTTTCAGTATATTAGTGAAGGGGAAGAGGTAAGGCAAAGTTTAAACATGGAAGGTTTGGGTTCCTTGAGTTTCATTTTCTCTTCCTTATTTTTATGCTAATTGGGTCCCTTTTCCCTTCCTTATCAACAGACTGTTTCTTGGGATTCCTTATTTATTTTACTTCTACTGACAAGCTGGAGGTTGAATTATGTGCTCAAGCTGAAAATGTTCCTTTAGGCTCTTGCCTCTGAACTTTCCAGCCAATGCAAAGTAAATAGGTACTGTGCTGTGTGCAAATGTAGACATATTTGTCCGAGTAGGCCAAAGGAGGGGAGGCATTTTGCAAAATGCCTCTAGAACAGAAACAGACTTTTGAGATGAAATATTTTATAGCCTCATGAAAATAAAATAAACTTTTCGGGAACAAAAAGTACAGAGGAATACTTATCTATACAATAAATTGGAGAAAAACCACACACAAAGCAAGACGTGACTAATACTTCAGCAGTGAGCTCACCTCAAGCATTTCATGAATTTCACATGACCCACCCACTTTTTCTCTGTACCTCTCAAGATTACCATATCAGCAGCAATAATACTCTGTTGTTTGAGTGCCAGATTTACATATCAACGTAGCCATGACATTCCTGAATGTAGAATATTGTACTGTTCCCCTTGTTTGTGGTTTCTATAAGAAGGTTAATTTTTGTTCCCTTACCCTCCTCATTTAATCTCATGCCACCCCCTACCTCTCTTCAATCAGAGGTTTGTTTTCTTTGAATAGTTTTCCTCTTCTCCTTTCTTAGTCTGTGTCAAACTTTGAACTATCCACAAATTCACTGTATAATCATGCTGATTTAAAATGTTTTAATACTCAGTCACAGACGATCAACTCTTTGAAAAGACAAGCCAGGGACAGAGAAGTAACAGCTGGTCACTTCTGGGATAATTCTGGAATATCTTCTGCCCCAAGTGTACAGTGTGTGTTAAGGTGGGTCAGAAGTTACCATGGTAGATTTCATTGCTACCTTTGTTTCTTTCTTGGTAGGCTTTATTTTTAATTATTTCTATTTCTAGATTGGAGATGGGTCTAGCAAAAATTCTCCATGCCAGAATTGAAAGCAATTTTCATTTCCAATGAAAGTTGGAAAGGGCCAGATCATTTTTAAATTCATAGACTCTTATGTGTCAAATTTAACGAAAAACCAACTGGTTTCTAACAAGCTATTTTAATGAGTTTCCTTTTTCTCTGATGTTCCCCAAGAGATATGTGCCAAGCGGACCCATGTGGCCCAGGGAGTAACATGATCATCTTGGCTCTGTTTAGCCACCTGTGCTCTTTTAACCTAGTGGTAAGGAGAACAGGAGAGAGAGGGATGAGGGCATGGAAGGCATGCAGACCTAGTGGGCGTGGGTGTGTGCCACACTGTTTAGGAATTCACTACAAAAAACTCCACAGCAGCAGCAGAGTCTTGATGCATCATAGGCCAACAGTGCCTCTGTGTGGGGTGTCTGAGAGTATATGAAATGTGTCTGTGTGTATGTCAGGGAGGAAGGAGTGGGGGGAGGAGAAAATTATATGCATTTTTAAAAGGAATTCCATGCCTTGGATGTTCTTTTTGAGAAGACGATATAGGAAAAACAAAAACAAAAAAACATTAAAACACATAAAGTATGCCCAGGACCCAGAGAACATATTTTTCTTCTAAACTTTCTTCCACTCCTTAAAGAAAATACATTTGTTGTGTTCACTTTTCCTTTTCTAGCAATAAGTCTGATGCTTGGCTCTCCCTGTCCACTCTGAACAACTTAGCACACAGATACTAAATTTAATCTGTATTATTTTTCATCAGGTGCCTTGTTTTGTGACTGTTCATAGTCTTCTGTATGTGTGAATTTCTCCTTTCTGGATTATAAAGTCTTGAGGAGTTATACTTATAGAAGATATTACTTGCTCTTGTTCTTACTCACCAACTTGTTACCAATTCTGGGTATTCCTCTGCAAATGTTGATTTTCTTCCACTTACAATGTTTTATTTTATGATGTGATTAATGTTTTTTAATTAAATTAAAAATAAAGTACTTCCACACTTTCTAAAGTGTTTATAGTTTTTTAAGACTTAATTCCTACTTTAATTGTATATTTCAAATGTACAGAAATACAAAGAGAACAATACAACATACATTCCACCACCAGATTTAACATATTTACTTCATCTCTTTAAAAGTTAAATATACAGCCAAGCACCCAAGACCCTCCCTATCCCAACTCCCCATCCCTCCCTAGAGAAAACCACTCTCCTGAAGCTGGTGTACATACTTTCCCTGCAATTTTTTAGATTTCCACTACATGGTTCAAATGATCTTAGTCCTCCTTCCCAAGGGGCTGGCAACTGGGTCTGTGAGCTGTTCACACTCAGCCAAGCATGGCTAGCCATGGAAAGAGCCGGGTCGACAAGCACCATTACAGAGGGCTGGGTGTACTTTTTAACATTTTTTATTGAATTTACTGGAGTGACATTGGTTAATAAAATTATATAGGATTCAGGTGCACAATTCTATAATACATCATCTGTATACTGTATTGTGTGTTCACCACCCCAAGTCAAATCTCCTTCCATCACCATTTATCCCCTCTATACCCTCTTCTACCTCCCCCAATACCCTTTTCCTCTGTGTCTATGAGGGTGTTTTGTTTTGTTTTTGCTTAATCCCTTTACCTTTTTCACCCAACCCTCCACCCAACAGCTGTCAGTCTGTTCTCTGTGAGTCTGTTTCTATTTTGTGTGTTAGTTTATTTTGTTCATTAGATTCCACATGCATGTGATTCCACATACGCGTGAAATCATATGGTACTTGTCTCTGACTGGCTTATCTCACTTAGCATAACGCTCTCTAGGTCCATCCATGTGCACTTTTGTCAAAGAAGAAAGAGTGGCAGAGCACTAACCCAGGAGAAAAACAGTTCACCCTGAAGAACAGGGCTTAGCAGTGGAAAAGGCACACCTGAGGAAGCTAGGAGGTGGAAAGGGACTCTTGGAGGTGTTGAACCAAAGGGATATTAGGCCTGGCCTGGTGTGGCTCAGTGGTTGAGTGTCAACCCATGCATGCACCAAGAGGTGGTTTGATGCTCGGTCAGGGCACATGCACAAGTTGTGGGCCTGATCCCCAGAGGGGAGCATGCAAGAGGTGGCCAATCGATATTCTCTCTCATCGATGTTTCTATCTCCCTCTCCCTTCCTTTCTCTAACATCAATAAAAAACAAACAAACTTTTTTTTTTTTTAAACAAAACGCCAAAGGGGTATTATTAGGTGAGAAGAGGAAAAGACCCTGCACTAGCACAGACTTTTGCCCCCCTGCTCCTCAGATAGGATGTGGCTAGGCAACTCTCAGACTGTCAAGTGTGCAGTCTGGGGCTGAGGGCACACCCCTGGCTGGGCCCAATAGCCACAACCCCAGCATGCCAGACCCATTACCAACCTCATGACCTGCCTAGGCTGCATTTACATTTCTTTATAGTGCCTCTGAAGGGTTATATAAATTCTGGGTATAACAGAGACTATTCAACTTGCCTATTACTACTCTTCCTCAATTTGGAGTTGCCAGATAAAATAGAAGACACCCAACTGATTTTCATTTTCAGAGACAGAACAAATACTTTTAAAAATAAGAGCATGTCTCAAATATTGCATGAGATGTACTTATACTACAAGATATTTATCAGAAATTCTACTGTAAGTCAATGTCCTGTATACTTATTGCTGAACCTGGGAACTCCACCTCAACTGAATTTTGAAAGGTCAAAAGGCTCTGCGGAATTACATTAATGAACACACAACCTTTGTCAAGTTCTCAATGGCCTAACATCGGCTAAAACAACAAGCTCACTGACTTTACTAAATCAGGAGGACACAAAGACACTTATTTTTTTAATGGCTTTATTGAGATATAATTCACATACCATCAAATTTACTCATTTAAAATGTACAATTAAGTGAGTTTTAGTATATTCACAGAGCTGTGCAGCCATCACCAAGTCAATTTGAGAACATTTCATCACCTTGAAAAGAAACCCAGTACAGCACCCATTAACGATCATTCCCCATTCCCAACTCCCCTCTGTCCCTGTTGCTCCCCAATCCTTGCCCCTGCCAACCATACATTAACTTTGTTTCTTTAAACTTACCTATTCTGGACATTTCTTTATAAATGGAATCTACAATATGTGGCTTTCCTGTCTGGCTTCTTTCGTTTAGCATGTTTTCCAGGCGTATCCACATTGTAGCATATATCAGTAATTCATTCCTTCTTATGGTCTAATAATATTCCTAATAACATATCACAATTGGCCTATTCATTCATCCATTGAAGGACATTTGGGTTGTTTCCACTTTCTGACTATTATGAATAAAGCTTCTAGGCCAAAACAGCCGTGTGCAAGTTTTCATGTGGACATATGTTCCCATTTCTCGTGGAATTGCTGGCCACATGGTAACTCTATGTCTAACATCAGGAGGAACCGCCAAATTGTTTCCCAAAGCAGCTGCACCTTTCAATAAGAAATCTTCAGAGTATCCTCGGTGTCCCTGAGGAGGGCCTGCTCCCAGGATCCCTACCTCAAGGCTGCCTTCGCGGGGCCCCAGAAGCCCTCCTCCAGGTGCCCAAGCCGCTGGAACCCAGGGGCCAAAACCTCCCAGGGAGGCTCTGTGGGAAACGTAGTCTTGGCCTCTCGCCTGGCCCCGCCCCCGCAGCGCTTGCGGCGAGAGGAGGAAAACAGACGCTTTGCTGGGGCTCTATGGACATTGTAGTTTTCTCCCTAGTCAGCCGCGTACAGACTTCGGTAAGAAAAACTACAGTCCCCAGAGCACCGCGGTGCTACGGGAGCCGAAGAGGCCATACCGCGTGCAGCACTCCCGCCCACCCTCCTGTCCCGGCCGCTTTCCAGGGCGTCCGTAAACACACCCAGACTGTCATGGAGAGGGAGGAGGGGGCGGTGGCGGCGAAGGGAGGCGTTTTGGGCCGCCTCCAGGGTCCGCTCTGCCATTCCTGAACTGGTCCCTCGTCCCCGTGACTGTGGCATCAGGGAAGCGAACTGTTAGGCGAGAGGAGGCAGCCAGAACCATATCCCCTTCTTCCCCCGGGGCGGGGGCCGGGCCGGGCCAGGCCGGCGGAGCCGGGGAGGGCAAGGGGAGGGAGCGCCTGGCCAGGCTGGCCTGCCTGCCGAGATGGATGACAGTAAGGTAAGTCCTGTGGTTTGCACGCGCAGCTGCCGCCTCCGCCGCCTGCTTCTCGCTAAGTGCTGGTCCCGCCGCTGAGCCTCAGCTCTGTAGTCCATGCCAACAGCCAAGAAACACCTGCCTTAGACATCCCCGCGCCTACAGTTATTACCCCAGGGTACCCAGCCAGGAATTCAGGGAACAGCGGGCTGCGTTGTTCCAAAAAGGGCCCTCTCCTCTGGGAAATGTTCAGTCCCAGGGCAAGCCTGTTTGTCAGCTTTTCCAGGTAGTGCCAACCCTAGTCCTTGACTTGCCTACCAAGATAGTGAAGGAATTACTTTGCTTTCCCTTTTTACCTTCCCTTGCTCCCTCCCCGCCTTTCTCTAGTTTGGAGATCTTAACTAGGGCACCCTGAACCAGCCCTGTTTCCCTTGACTGTTCCCCTTTCTTCTCTCCTGCTCCCTTACTCAATGCCCCATTCATATAATCAGTTCACTCCCCCTCTGAGCTATTTTCCTGTGGTTGGTTGGAACACTCTGCTAAGCTCCCGTTGCTATTCGTCCAGAGTCTGGAATCTAACCTCCTCTGGAAAGCCTTCTTAAGAAAAGTGGTGAATTATTTCTTGTTAATCTATCTTAATAACCCATCACCACCACCTCCTTTCTCTATCTAAATCACTTATCCTTATGATTATAAGATAGCAGACAATGTTCACTATTGGTAATTCATATGTATAACCTGTTTTTATGTCAGTCCACATTAGTGTTGTCTAGTTTTATTTCATGAAGATAGGGATGGTCAGCTTATTGACTATCAGACTTCCAGAATTTGCCAATTTTTTGAAGTGGAAATTGTCCTCCCCTATGCTACCCAGAGGTCTTATTTTCCACAATCTCCAGCATGCTGCTGGAGATAGCTATTTTCCTTGTTTGGATGCCCTTTTCCCCCACCACGTAACCAGTAACATTTTGTTGCTGTCCAGTTTTTGTTTCACCTATCATCAGAGAGACTGAAAAGATTTCCAGCTTCTCTGTACTGCTTGTGTTATTCTACATTATCTCCTCTTCCTGTTCCTGCAGAAGGCTCTGAAAAAAGTGATAGACAGAAGGGAAAGCCCAACTCAGTACTCTGGAATTGGGACTCACCTAGAAAACCAGTCTACTTGGGAAGCAGCAAACCCCTCCTAATAGGAAATAGTTCCAAGACACAAAGGGAGAATTCTGAAAGTTTTCTAGAAAAATCAGAAAATAACTTTTTGAAAAAGTTTTTGCTAGCTTGATCTTTCGGTGTTAATTTTGAAATTAAGTCTGATTATTGTATCCATTATATTTCCCAGAAAGTAGTGTTATGGCTGCTTAAGAAAGCCAAAATAACATATTGTTCTTTAATTTTTTAAAATTTGAGACTCTCGCAGAATATTCTTCATAATTTTCAGTTGTTTCCTTTTCACACCTTTGAAACATTTAATAACTTTCTCAAAGTCTTCAATAATTTCAAATAAGTCCAAGAAAAGTACATAAGATTTTGAGTTGTTTTACTTTCCTATAAAATCACATAGTAATTATTTCTAAAACTAGCAAACTATTGGTGGGTATAAAATTATATTGTTTTGCCTAAAAGAGTGAAGTTAAATTTGGGGGGTAGACTATTCATAGCTTACTTCCTATAGGGTCCACAATTACACAAAATAAATTCAGTTTTTAATCTTTATTAATTCATTGTTGTTATGAAAGAATTAGAAATCAGCAGTCTCTTAAATCTTTAATGATTATGGAAAATAAAATCCATTTCAAATGTCTATGGATGAATAGTGCCTCTGTGAATACATTACTTTCACTTTGATTACATGTCATAGTTTTGGGTGAATAATATTTAAAGCCATGTACAGCAAGACTGGGCTGCTTTCAGCAGTCAGGCTGTGTGAAACAGCCCTTAAACTGGGACTCCGCAGCTCCCCGTCCTGCCTTTCTCTGTGCTGCAGTTGTTACAGTCCTGCAAAATTGTATTGTCCTCCTAGTACATACATATAAACTCACAAAACACACTTCTCCCCTCACATTATGTACAGGCGATGGAGTCTCAGGTTCCATTTCCCCCTGTATAAGAGAAGGTGAGAGTTGGGGCTTGGAAGTATGGCCACTGTGCTGGTGAGAGCACAATGGATGACAAACACTGACAGCTAGGCCCGGGCAACAGGAAGAGGATGAAGTGGGCAGGAGCAGCAGTGATAGAGAGGCAGAATTTGAATGAGCAGGTCAAGAAACAAGATGATGATAATGTGAGGACCTCCCTTTAAAAGATTCTGTATCCTTGGTTCTTTTCATCAGTGGCGATGAATGAGTTTGCCAAGAGCTCTCCACACTCTACCATCTAGCTTCCTCGAGTAAGAACAGGACAGACTTGAATGTGGGTGCAGCTTTGCCTCCCTAGTGTCTAGGATTGTGCCGGAAACAGCATAGAGTACTAGTTGTTAATAGGGATCAAATTTAATTGGAACAGTGGCATTATGGAGAATGCCCTGATATACCTGGGCTTTATTAATCACTGTGCTTCACTGAGCCAACTAGCCAGAGTATACAGATGATAGCAAGTGAGAAAAATAAAGCAAGAGCTATATTGGATCTAACAGTAAGGGTTTGGGAAAGTGCTAAGTAGCAGAGTTCAAATACTAACTGAGTAGATCTCTGCTAGGTTAGTTGGGAAAGAACAAATCTTGGCTAAGTTATCGAACCTTTCTGAATTTCCATCCTATCTGTTCAGTACCTTCTTTACAGGCTTTGTTGAAGATTAAAGATAATACATTGAGTAGAGTCTAACACATAGTAGGCATCCAAAAAATGTTATTATTATATTACCTAGCATTTGGTCCTTAGCACAGTGTTCATTTTACCAATTTTTACATGTGTCGTTTGCAGCTCTGTTTACTCCTACACTACCACCCTTTGCTCCTAACTATGCCCCAAAGTGGGACAGTGGCAATGGGATGGGACATCAACTTAAACTGTGCCCTAAACTGTCAGATTATGTGGGAAAGGTAGTCTGCTGAGCCCACCTGCATGTTCACCTCTAGGAAAAAGTGCTTGTTCTTATGAAAGCCTTTTCTCCCTGACCTGCTGCATTCAGTTACAGAGAAAATGGAAATGTGTTATTTTTAGAGGCTTTGATCATAGACAGAAGGATCTTATTTTATATTTGACTTTTATGTTTATTGAATGAATGAATGAGTAAATTGAAATATCCTAGACCAGATGTGTTCCTGCTGCAGACTATAAATTGATAAAAGACCACCATACTTTATTGCCCAGCCTGACAGTTTAGGGCATCAAGTTCCAGTTCAGGGACTGATGAGAGAGTGGCCAGCTGCTGGTCACAATATGTTTCTATGGGCTGCTATTCTCCTTACTTCCTTTCTACTTGCATGACACACAGTTATCTGAAAATGAGGTTTCTTATACCTTCCTTAGGTAAGAAGACAGGTTCTTCTGTTCCATTCAGTTGTTCTGAGTAATGCTGGTTCTCAAAAAATTTTTAGGTTGGCCCAAAAAATCTCTTTGACATTCTCAAACCTATCCTTTGGCCCCTGAAGCCCCTCCTGTTAGCCCCTTAGTCATCCTTTGCTGCAGCTGGAGCTACTCTGCTTGGGCAGTCCCACAAAGCTCAGACATTTTCTGCTTTTTCTGTCCTTCTACTCCATCAATACTTTCCACAAGACTAAGGCAGAAGATCCAGCTCATACACTAAATAAATTTCTGACAGTAGATATTAATATGTTAATGTGCCTTCCTTTCCAATCTAGGTTACATGCACATTTTAACTAGGGTGCCTCTACAGATAGTTTAACCCCAAGGGGTAATTTTAATCCTAGAAAAACCAATTGAAATTGAACTTTAAATAATGTTTTGCTCTTTGTTTTCAGAAAAGTTTGTTAATTCAAACATCTGTTGGACACTTAATATGTATCAGGCATTGTGCTAGATAGTAGAGATACAAAAATAAATAAGAGTTTATAACTATTCTCAGGAGCTTACATTTCAGTGGACTAGGCAGACATATAGGAAAATATTTATAATATAGTGAGGTAAAAATGAGGGCAATAGAAGCAAAGTGGTTTGGGGAACACTAGAATGGATGCCTAGCTGTCTGGGTATGTTGGACATGGGTTCACACAGTAGGAATGAATCTGAAATGAAGAATAGGCGTCCCCTAGAAAATTGGGAAGAGGGAATACCCTGTACTAAACCACATTGCACTGGCAAATAAGTATTTTGTTACAGGCTAGAGCAGGATTGACAAATTTTCTATAAAGGGCCAGACAGTATTTGTTGACCATGTGATCTCTGTTGCAATTACTCTGCCATTGTAGCATGAAAGCAACCATAGTCAGAATGTAATGAGTGGATGTGGCTGTGTTTCAATAAAACTTTATTTACCAGAACTAGCAACAAGCTGGTTTGGGTTTGCCAGCAGGGCTATTGTTCACTGAATCCTGAGCATAAGGCACAAGTAAAGGTGTGGGCAGAGACATGAAAGAAAGATAACCAAGGGCTGGGTCGTGATATACCTGGCAAGTTAAGGTAAGAAATTTGGTTTAGTAGTTTTCAAAGTGTGGAATAAAGAAGACATTGGCTGAATCAGACTCTCTGGGAATTTGAATTTTAATAGGCTCCCAGTTGAGTGGCTCACTGAAGTTTGTGTGAAGTTTCATATGCTTACTGAAGTTTGAAAACAAAGGCCATAGATATTGGGGAGCCATTGAAGGATTTTATCTATCTATCTATCTATCTATCTATCTATCTATCTATCTATCCATCCATCCTCACCCAAGGATATTTCTCCATTTCAGATAGAGTGGGAGGGAGGGAGGCAAGGAGGGAGAGAGAGAAAAAGAAACAGATGTAAGAGACACATTGACTGGCTGCCTCCCTCATGACCCTGACCAGGACCAAGGATGAACCGCAACCGAGGTACAAGCCCTTGACCAGAATCGAACCTGTGACTCATTGGTCCGTAGGCTAATGCTCTAA